AGCCCCCCCCCCCCCCATCTCTGTCAAGCATTGGAGCCTCCCAGGGTTTAAGGGGCAAGACCTAGCCCTCAGGTCTTCATTGTACCAGATAATCCATTACCCCCTCTTCCTCGTTCAGAGCACCACAGTTTACAGAGCACATTCACATGCATATCTCATCTGATCCCCACAGCAACCTTAGACACAGGAAGAGTAGGTCTCCCACTTCACAAATAGGGAAACTGAGGCCCAGAGGGAGAAAGTGAATTGCTATGGTCCACTATCGGTAATTGGCAGAGATGGGATAGAATCCCAGCTGGTGGCCCTTTGCCCCTCCAGGGACTTCAGCTTCCTTCTCCTTGCCTAGGTGTAGTCCTTAGAAGTGACTGCCAGGACAAGCTTCCAACACATCTGTCTTGAGCCTCCCTTGGCCGGTAAAAATTATTATTGCCATCGCATCCTGGGACTCTGTACTGTCAAGCGGGGGAAATAGTTCTTGGGATTTAAAAGTAGGCGGCCTTCCTGGAGTAGGCAGCCTGGGCACCAGCCCCAGGGCTCTGGGGAGAAGCAGGGTCCAGGAGGAGAAGAGATGGACACTGTCTCTTTTCCTGTCTCATGAGTTACAGAGCAAGAATTGTCAACTCCATGACAGCAGCAGGAATCTTTATTTTGTTCACTGCTGTATCTCCAGCGCCTTATAATAGTGCTTGGCGCATAATGCATGCTCAATAAATATTTGTGGCATGAGAAAAGCCTTCAAGGCCATGCCTGTGCTTGCTCTGAGAGGGGTTGCAACAAGCTGTCCAACTCCATGGAATCAGGATGCTCTTGGGGGTTTGCTGGGGTCGGAGGTAGTGCTACAAGACTCATGGTGGGAGGGTTTGTGCCCTGCAGAGGGTTAACTTTGCCAAACAATCCGGAAAGCAATCAGAAACCCGGGTAGAGTTGGTAGGAAGGGAGGGGACAGGGTCAGAGAAATATCGCTCCAGTGAGACTGCAGAAAGTAAGGCTGGGGGGCTGGTAGTACCAGACGGGGCCGTCAACCAAACACTGGCGACCAGGACCCTGGGACCAGAGCGGAGCCACGTGCCGAGCGGGGCCGAGAGGCCTCCAGGTGGCGCTGCGGAGCCGGGCTGCCGCGCGTCTCCACTCCCCATTAACCCGGGAGGGAGGGGGGCCTCGGGAAATGTGTGCATTTATTCAGTAGCAGGAGTGCAAACCTCATACATTGAGGGAGAAAGGCAGCGGGAGACGGCCGCCGTGATTCCCCCATCTCTTTGAATATAATTTTAGATTGAGATTCAGATTAAATCCGAGGGGAAAACACTTTATGAGGCTGAAAGCTGTGCCGTTGCCAGAGCCAGGGTTATGAGCTATCAAATGCAATTACATTAAGACAGATTATACTGGGCAAATTGAGCCATTTAGAAGGTGAGAATCAAAGAAACGGCTCTGATCCTCTCTTCCCCCTTTTCTCTCCCTCTCCCTCTCTCTCTAAATTGCAGTTCGTAGTTCCTTGCAATTCTGAGGCACAAAAGTAGGTGAGACTGCTTTTGTATCTGCGAAGTGCTTCACTCCTGAATGTAATTCTAGCTGAGTACAATCTAGGTTAAGAGCCGGACAAGCGGGTAATTAGAGCCCGCTCGCTGCCCGAGGACCGGCCGCCCCGCCGAAGCGCGCCCGGAGTCGGCGCCCTTCTCCCGGCGAGCCGAGCTGCGGCTGGACACGGAGCGCCCGAGATGATGGTGCTCGACAAGGAGGACGGTAGGTGGCGGGCGGGGGTCCCGACACCCCCAGCCCCTGGCCCCCCGCCGCGGCGCGCGGGAACACACACTCCGGGACACAGGCGC